CCACAATTTCTTGTGGATGTTGCTGTAGCTTGTGACAGCTTGCTCAAAAACATTGAGCTATATATAAAATATCTGGGTTAACTAATTGCCATTATAGTATTTTTATGCAAATAAAATAAAAATTTAGCTTTTCTGTATGCTGCAGATAACGTTACTTAGGATGAAAATTAAATGTTAGTAAAGGCAGCTGCATGAACAAACTGCTTGATTTCAATACCTGTTAACGTACTGTAGTTTCCTAGAGTGCCACTCACTGCTCCAACAGATGAAGAGACGAGGAATCTCCCTAGGAGACTGAGACTCACCCCAACGTTTGAGAGGCGATTGATTGGGTTCTCAGTAATCCCTGTGGGAGGAGGTTCAAGTACCCAATAATGCAGAAATCCAAAATGCTTTTAGCATGCACCCAAGCTGGCAGAATGGATCCTCCCTTCCTTCCCCCCCCCCCCCACACACACTCCTTTTATGCTTCAGTGGAAGAGAGCTTCATGTGAATAAGGATTCACCATTTTATCTCAGTTCCATACTGCACAGGTACAACTCTAGAAAAAAGCAGCTTCACCAGCCCTCAGCCCAGCAGCTTTCCTGCAGTTGCATGCTTTGAAAGTGCCCTGGGCTAAAATAAACAAACAGAAAGATAAATAGATGGCACTTGGTGTCAGCCGGCCAGATTTTTGTTCCTCTCTTTTCAAGAAGTGAATCACCAGTGAAATAGAGATGACTCACTAAGGGAATCCAAAGCATGCTTTCTTTAATACATGCAAGTTCATGCCCTAAATGGAAAGAAACAAAGGCTACATTTTAATATTATTTTCCTCAATATTGAGTCAAAAATGCCAGCAAGTGCAAAGGGATTTTTTTAGGAAAGGGAAGCTGCCATCATATCTTTCTAATGCAGCAAGAATGTATAAATAGTTGCACATGGCAGATAATTAGGTTGTGTTAACACAGCATTGTACTTGTGAGCATCTGGGTAGCAGACAGGAGAGAACAGCTGAGTGGCTGCTGGCAAGTTCTGGGCTGCTGCCTACAGAGCAAGTGCTGTGTTGCCCAAAAGCTCTGGGCAGTGTTATTCAAGCCCACCACATAAAACATGTGACATGGGCAAGATCTTATGAAACATCAAGACTATTTGAAAAGAGGGAACTTGTGTTCTTAATTGAGATTGAGTGCTCTGCAGTCACAGCTGGTGGATCTTGCTGGTGAAGACATCGCCTCAGCTCAACCCCTAGTGTCAGGGGGCAGAGACCATAGATTTTTGGTGGGTTTTTTTTTTTTTTTCCTTTAAATTTAAGCCACATAGATCCAATTTTTACCTCTTCACAGAATTCCCTTCCTTTCTTTCATATGCTTCCCATTTCTTACAAGCAGCTGTTTAACAGAAAACTGAAATTATCAAATCCTTGACTGTTTTTGGTTGTTTTTTTTTTTTTTTTGTTTTTTGTTTTTTTTTAAATGAGGTATTTGTCCATCAGAAATTCTTCCATAGAGATGTGAGGAAGGTTGGTATGATTCTCAATCACAGTTTATCTTAAAAAAAAAAAAAAAAAAAAAAAAAACCACAAACCAGAGCTCACTGACGACTTATTAAATTTTCAAAATTTTAAAGGACTACTACAGGGTTCTGCTTGCACCAAGACTACAGATAAGTACTGGACCAAAAATTCCAACTGCTAAAAATACCAACAAATATGAATAAAAACAAACAAAACAAAAAAAAAACAAAGAAAATATAAATAGTATAAATAGTACCCTTTGTGCACTGTTTGTACAACTCCATTAGAGGCTTACCTGCAGCCAAGTTTGTCACACCTGTAGCATTCTCACCACCTCACTGGAATAGTTTCCATTGCAGAGAACAGGTTGTTTTCCTGTGTTTGTGTTGCTTAATACAGGTTCACATCATCATATTCAGGATATTAATTTTTTTTTTTTTTTTTTTTTTGCCTTGCTGCAGGTCTGCCCTTAATTCAGGTGAAAACAAAGGGTTTCCTCAAATTCCTTCTTAGCAGAAAAAAAAAAAAAAAAAAATCAAATTGGATAAGTTGCACAAAGGGACCATAAAGAATTATTTCTTTAAATATTTTATGCAACTGCCTTCATTCTTCAAACCAGTTTTATTCTCAGCTTCCTGATCTTTCCATCAATCTGTTTCATCTTAAGAAAAAAAAAATAATGGCATGGGTCTCAAGATGATTCTCCGTTACAGCAGAAATACTACAGAAAAATGAATATTTCAAAATTAAATGTTACTCTATGCTTTTCATGCCATCCTGTGAACATTATGAAAATGAGTCTTCAGTAGTCTACCACTGAAAATAAAAACTGAAAAAATATTCTTGCAGGGAAGAGTTTTGCACTTCTCTAATGCATTAGTGTTGAAAACATACATCTCAACAGGAGTGAATAATACATGCAAAGTTGTTTAACTTTTCTCAACTGATACAACATCATTTTATTTTGCTGAAAGAGTAGATGTAAATTGATCCTGATACTATTTACATAATCTCTGCTCGCCTGCATTTGTCATAAATGTTTTTCATTTGAACTTTCATAAAACACGCAACACACACTTTTGTCTTTATTTTAAATGTTAACCTTAATTGTGCATAGTTAATACATCCTCCTCAAGTTGTTTGCATCACCGAATTCCAGTCATCCAGAAAACCAAGATGTAGTGTTAAAAACCTCAATAACTACTTTAAAAATTAATGTTCTTGACTCCCACAAGGCTCATTACTCTTTCCATGACTGTTATCTTTCCAGAGACTGATTTCAAGGCAAATCTTCTGGATTTGTTACACATGGACATTATTCCATACAAATACCTGTACCATACTTGAATACATTACACTTGAGTGTAAACATCTCTACCTTGCAGTTATTTGGGAGGTACAGAGAAATGTGAAAAAAGCTTTCAAGTAGCTCAGGATCTGTTAAAAAAAAAAAAAAAAAAAAAAAAAAAAAAAAAAGCATTCTTCGTCAATATGAGCTACAGAAATTGGTCAATGAAGCTGGCAGTTTTTAGATGGTTGGGTGAAAGTGTGGCAGCTGATAACAGTAGTTAGCCCTAGTTTAAGTGCTATTAATTCATGTTTGTCTACAGATTATACCATACTAGATGTATTGATGCGAGTACCCCTAAAAACTGCTAAATGTTTGTATGGTTTTAAAGAAACATACTGCAAATCCAAATCTTGGCCTTGGCTTCACAATCTCTTTCCTATATTTGTGATCTGATGACCTATATAGAGGAAAATCAGTACACAGTTAATTGGAGAAAAAAAAAAAAAAAAAAAAAAACGAGAACTTCTACATATGTTGGTTTTGGAATTGTCCTGAAGTATTATAAGATCATGGAAGATTATTAGCATAATATATTTGTACAAGGACAACGTATATTTAATCAGTTCTTAATGGTGATAATAATAATAGGTTTCCCTGTGGAGAATGACAATATGATTTCCAACTTCCTGAATTTATAAACTTGCAGAATATTGCAGGCCATTATTTCACTTCTCTTGCATGCAGCAAGAAGAAATCTTTTTCTGTACAAGTAAGGAAATCTCTAAAACAAATCAAAAATGTGGGCAGACAGTGAAGAGAACTAATTAACTCAAGGCGAGTAACCCAGAAAAATTAATGTTGAGTCGGAGGTAGTTCAAAGACTTGACGGGTAACAGTCTAAAATGCAGTGTTTATGGCCTTGAGTAGTTAAGACCTTGTGAATAACTACTTTTTTTTTTTTTTTTTGAATGCACAAAACATCAAAAGCACAAGGAGAGAGTACAAATTCATATGTACAAAGTAATAGGAAAGAAAAATGAAGATCTTTCCTTGTTTTCACAGAAAGGCAAGACCTTTTGATGCCAGTCTTTGCCAATAACAACTTCTATTGCACAAGTACTTAAATACCATTTGTCCATTTTTTGAGCACAGCTATCATGGCAGACTATCATATTTGTATATCAGCGTATTGATTTCAACTCACATATAAACCCTACAGCCTCAGTCTGTCAGATGGTTATGGTTAAGAAATATTTAAATGTCTTAGGTAAGAATTTTTATTGTGCTAAACACTTACCTTGTCTACTCTAGAGCTTTTACATGTACAATGGCTTTTTATTTTCAGAATTTGTTAGTTGGTTGAGATGAATTCTATCTTCCTCCACATAGGGAACAGAGTACAGCTCAGTCTTTTATTTAATAAGTTTAGGATTTTTCCCTTAGCGTTCAATATGAATTCAGTGACACTGCAGTTTATATCTTCTAAATATATATGTATGTGTTCTGAGTGCCTCAGAAAGGATAAATTAAGTGCTTACATAAATCAAATGTAATTGAGATTCAAGTTTCGTGGGTCAAGATTAAGATTTTCTCCCAAGCAGGATGCATTATTAGTGCCAGAGAATTTTTAAGGCAATATTTTAATAGTATAACAACTTATTACAGTTTTTCTGTGTAGTATGAATTTCAGTTCCGACATTGTTACAAACTGTTTAAAACACTACTCCCTAAGATTTTTCTTTCTCCATCGCAGTGATTGAAATAGGCTTTTTTGTGTGTATATATAGAAACTACAAAGCCATGATTGATTAAGCAGATATGCATTGTTCACCTCCATCTGGAAAAGGATCAAAAAGTAAAGTGAAAGAAAAAAGTTAATACTTCAAGCACTTTATTAATGTTATTGGAATCCATACCCTTCTGTACCCAGACCTCTCAAGAGTAAGTGGGAAAAAATATTTCAGCCACTGGCAAGCAAAGAACAGATAATACATCACAGAAAAATGAGAAAGGTTAATAGAAGAGCATAATATGATTAGAAAATTCTCCCAGAAATTCAAATAGTAATGTTGATATCTAAAGCTAAAAGTAGAAAACAGAGGTTCAGAGATACCTGGATATAGAGCTCTATGTCACTGAAACAAGAAAGTGTAGAACAAATGTTTTCTAGTACAGAGAAAACATTTGTACATGTATGGAAGAATAGAAGTATTTAATTCATTTAAAAAGTTTGTCTACTAGCTTGGTAGAATACTGTTGTTCTACTGTATTTAATATTTAAATATTTCCTACATTGTGATAATCTGACAAGGCTATTCTCAATATTCAGGAATTCCCCCCCCCCTTCCTTTCTTAAAAGGAGATCTTAAATCAAGAGCCTTTTAAATCCCGATTCACTAAAGCACGTAGCAAGAAGACGAAATGCAGAAAACAGAACAACTTGCAAAGAGTATCAGGACAAGACAAAAGGAATGTCTCCTCAGCTCCTGAAATAGTTGTTCATACGTTCACCAGAAGAGGGACCGCAGGATGCTGAGTGAGCCCTGCTCTGCCCGGTGGGAGCAGCCTTAACTCTACCTTAGTTCAGGCACCTCCAAGGCAATGCTACTGCCAGGTTAACAGGTTTCATTCACCACTAAACCACAGCAATGAAGCCATGCACCTAGGGGTTCAAGAAATTGTGCAAGATGTTAAAAAATAAAAGCAAAAAAAATAAAAACACATTCCCAAAATTCCACATTGTAACCTAATGGTTGAAGGGATTCATTTAGATTAAAAATAACAAAGGCACTTCTCCAAGGCTTGAATGAATTAATTATACTGCAACTACCATGTACCAGGTTGAATCTCAGCAGTTATTCCTTAGGTGGTCCTACAATGGCCAGCAATCAGTCTTTCTCTCCCTTTCTTATCCTCCAGGCAGCCTTGTGTTCTTTCCAAAAACTTCATTAAAAAAAAAAAAAAAAAAAAAAAAAAAGTTGGGCCAGGAGGTCTTCTGATACCCATGAAAACACAACCATCCTCTTTCCAAACTGCATACTTTTCGGTTTCCAATAAAGGACAAGTTTTACAACTAACGCTTTGAAATACATCCTTTTATCATCCTTCTTCCCCTCCTTTTATATACTAAACTAGTGCAGTTTATTTTCAGCCTTTTTTTAATTTACAGACCTCTATAGATCTCCCAGTGGAGATACAAGGTGAATTTAAACCTACTAAAAAAAAAAAAAAAAAATACTTCTTATGATTCCATTTCTCAGATCCTTAGGCAAGTGATCCACAGACTTTACAATCTGAAAACCATAGAATCCAAGCTTTATCTTGATTATAAATAACCCGCCAGTGAATGCGTTCTGTAGCTCTAGTTGCACTGCTTAATTTCACAGGTGTGCCCAGAGGCAGAAGGACATAAATCCCACTTTAAAAGCCTAAAATTGGTGAAACTGGGTTACATGCACAGAAATGTTTATTTCATCATCAGAGCTTTGTCAATGGTAATTCATTTTAGAGGGTTATGCCTATACAGAAATTCTTCCTTCGATCATTTAAGGTCTTAGGTTACATTCCTATCAGGAAAGGGAATACTTATGGACAAACCCCAGAGATCAGATTCCTCTCTCTGAATTTATTACTGTCACTGTGACATTTGAATCCTATCCACAGAGCAGATATTTATCTGCCAAATATATTCTGATCCACCTCTTTCTTGATGTCACATTAGTTGCTATGCTTTTATCATATGATGCCAGAGAAAGTTGTCAGTCACCATATAACAAGAGAACAAACCTCATACCAGCTATAGAATCCCATCCTGTTATGTAGAAATAGAAGGAATGTACACACGGGGATGAAAAGCATGAGAAAGTTCCTGACTACTGCCATGAAGACAAGTTTGGAAGTCAGCTTGGACAAAGTTATACAGGTTATCTCCAAAATATGTAATCTGAAGAAAAACGAAAAAAAAAAAATCTTTTATTCTCCTTAAATCTCACTCATATTCCTGAGAAAATTGCTTTAAAAAAAAGTGCTTAACTGAACTTAACCTCTAAACTTCTGCCTACAAGTGACAAACTTTGTTCCCCATTGCTGCAAATCTTTTTGATCAATGCATTACTTCAAGTTAACGTATGCTATAAAATAAGGCATTTATGTCTAGATCTCTCATGCTACAGGGAGAGATTATCCTCTCTCTATTACCGAAAAAGCATAGTACACAAGTCACACAAAACATTTTTGGAAAAATACTGCAAAATCTAATGCCTTATGCAACATGACATGGGAGATTGTTGTATGAAAAAACAAGTTATGCTATGCAGAGGCAATTGCAAAGTAAGCACTAGTTTTTTTTGAACTAGTTCACTATAGCACTTAAAAGAGCCATTAACCCAAATTCTCATTTTAAAGTAAGACTTTCACAAACATTTGTTTTAGTACATAAAGCAAATGTCTCCCCAGTCAACTCAAGCAGATCTAATCCCCTGTTAATTCAATATATCAAATTAAGCTTCCATGCCTATGATTTTACATAAAGTTTTAATATGCCTAATGATGTTGAATGGGTGTGTTAAACGTTACAGTTGGTGTTACAGCTGGAAAGATTGTCATGGTGAAAATGGGGAAAGAAACAAATAGGGAAGGAATGCTTACCTCTATCTGAAGATCTAGGTTCACAAGAAGGACTCCACAGACAAAGGATATCCAGAAAGAAATTCTTCCCTGCTGCCAGTCAGCCCTTAAATGGGATCTAGGAGCTGAATCATCTTCACTTGTGTTCCCATGGCTGACTTAGCCCTTTCCTCAGGTGATCAATCAGTGGTTCAGGCTGTGTTAAATAACCAGTCTTTAAAATCATAATGGGAAGAGATGAGAGAGGTTATTGCTGTGTTCCTCTGGCCTTATATATATGACTTCCTGATCAACCTCTAATTTTTTTATGGCTCATTTGTGATTCAGTGTTTTTAAGGAAGGAGAAAAAGAAATAAGAATTTCATAATTCATAAGTTTTACATTTGAGCATCCAACCAAATAAAGTCTTAAACAATTAAGAATTAAGACAAGTCTTAAATTGCATTAAGACAAGGATATCTATTTCAGAGGTGGTATGTTGGTAAATTTTGTTAGTTTCATCAAAATTTAAATGTCATTCATTTAAGTAGAGTGAGTCCTTTAGCTACTGTGGCCCAGCTGGAAGCTTTTATATCTTTGATTTCAAGAGAGATGACAGTTATTCCATCTAATAGGTAAATTTGCCAGTGAGCTTTTATGTTATGGGCTGCACATTTCAGTCCTGCTATGTAAGTTATTTCCATCTCATAGGTATCACCAAATAAGTATATCACTGCTTTTGGTGAAAAGATCACACTAATTACACAAGTTAGAGAAAGTTGAGTTGCAGATAAAATAGTTTTAACACTGTATCAAGTTATTAAGGAATAGTCTGGTTTATTTTGCCCAATAGCCTAGAGATCAAAAAGCAAATTTCCGATAAATTCATTTTAATATCTTTGAGTGATGTGACATTATAATTACGTGTGAGTCCCTACATATTGGGGTGCTGAAACAAAGGAAGGGAGAAGAAGAAATTCATTTGAATTATCAGGAGATTGTCTTTTTTTCTGCAATATCCGTTGTTCTATGCAATTCCTCTATAGCTCATTCACTGTTCTTGGCCTACTCATAAGCCTTTTCTTTTCTCTAAAATATGATGTTATCTTCAACACCAGAAAACAGGAACATAGGAATTATTGGTATTAGCTACCATTTCTTGCCTTGAGAAAAACTGCTTTATCTCAGAAAGAAAGAAACCTCTGATAAAATTTCTGATTTAGTGGATCTCAGTGCTTAGCGGTCTTTTAAGGGACTTGAGGTTTTCAAAATGATATAAAAAAAAAAAAAAAAAAAGACACTCATTACATTGTTTATCATAAAATAAGGCAAATTTTAGACAACTCTAACATAGGAAATGCTATGTGAGAATATAGGCCTATTGCTTTAGTATTTTCTAGCCTGTAAGTTTTGCCAGAATACTCTAAAGGACAGCAGAGTTTTTCTTTTTCTCACATGAGAATTGTGATGGGTGGTTGGTCTATTTTAGTTTGATTTGCATTTTGCTTTGTTTTGCTTTTTTTACTACTAGAATTTGAAACATAAAATTACTTCAAACTTCTGAAATTTTAATTCCAGATCTTAAAAGAAACAGAAAAGCCATCAAAACATTACAAGCCTTAGTTGTACTTACTATTAAAGCCTGTACCAACCTGTAACATGCCGTCGTTATTTAATGCTCAGCTCTGGTGAACATTCTGTGCTTTTTCTCACCAGGGATAAGTGTTCGGCTTCTAAAGAAAAAGAATAAGGCAAATGACTTTTGAAAATATACTGTCTTTCTTGCATCTATCAATCAGAAACAATTATTATCCCTTCTAAATGAACAACCTTTTAACGTGCAAAACTAATTAACACTTCTGACCTCTAAAGTCATCTCAAGTTTCTTGTTCCCCTTTCGTTATTGCACAGCAATTAGTATGGCTACCATTATAGTCTTCCTGATGACATGTAGTGGTTGAACATCACTGCACTGTGCATGTAGGGAAATATTGCTCCCTACAAATAAAGCCTTAGGTAAGACCAAGGGAGCTTAGGATAATTTCACCAGCTATCCACTGGAAAGAACCATTTTTAAGAGAAGAGGTAAAGAGCACATAAGAAAATTGCCGGTCTCCCAAATTCATGCTAACAAAATAGCACTTATGAGACTGATTTGTGATAGTCTGGTGATTCACTGCAAAGAACTGAAGGAACAATCTCCCCCCTGCTAACAGTGATAAGCAAGAATTAAATTTCGTATTACTGCTGATGCACCTGCTGAAATTAGTGCTCAAGTTCTTTCTGCTACTGCTGTTTTTCTTTTTGCTGTAATTAAAGTAACATCAGAGGAATACTGCCTTCTGCCATGTAACAGTTAAACCAAAGTCAGCTTCTTCATGCAACGCTATCCAAGTGGTTTACAAAAGAAACAAAAAACAATAGACAAACTTTAATAATGTTTCAACATTTTTAGCACTTTCACTGCTTAGAGATGCCTTTATCTTAAAGATCTGTGTCTCCAAAGACCAATGAGGACTCTGATGTTTTAATTTTCTTGGGGTCATATCCTCCTTACTGATCTAAGTGTGGCAGGATTGCTGGTTAAGCACAGAGGTACCTAGTATTCAAGGATGCATACTATGACTCCCACTCCCAAGGCTTCAGCACAGATTTGGTAAAATTTCAGTTTTTTTCAGTAGCTGATTTGACTGAAGAAAGAAAGTCTTTGAAAGAAATTCCATGATCTGATCCCAAACTTCAGCTAGATTCACTGGTTTGATTGCAAATGTCATTTGCATGCCAAGAATATTAACTAATTGCTGAGCAACAACCTCTTTCTCTACATACATAAATTGGACCTGGCTGTGCTTGGATCCTCACCAAGAACCCATCCTCCTCGTAGATGGAGAATTGAGATCTCATGCCCTCAGGGCAGGACAAGACTTATTCACATCCATGCCCAGATTTTGGGAAGGGAGTCTGTATGCCAGCATATGCCACACTGAGCTGTGTGGCTGGCTCACCAGGGAGAACATGAGAGGTGATTAAATTGATGCCTTGGGATATGTCAAGTGTTTTTTCCCAGATTTTCTCTAAATCACAGAAGATATGTTTATATTGCTAAATAAATGCTGGATTGCCATGTACCAGCACAACTGAGGACAATTTAACATAGCATTAGTAATGGGATGGAGTGGTCCAAATTAGACCAGTTAGCAAGATAGCTGCTAGGAAATATGACTAGTTGATTTTTGAGTTCTGACCTCACCCTCCTTTTTAGAGATATAGAAGCATGCTAGGGCTTCCCTAGTACCATCACCTGCACAGCATTGTTCTTAAAGATACAGCCTTCAAATGCCTGCCTATCTTCAACAACTTCACTTGCTGGCATTGGCACAAAACTATCTCTTTGTCCTCATACTTGTCTTAGAACATCACATTAATGGTTCAGCCACACCACCAGGAAATATGCCAGGCACAGGGGAGAAGAGGAAGAAAAAAACAAAATGGAAATGACACAGGATGATTGTAAAGTCAAAGAAGCTATAACCATCTAATGTCCAGTTCTCCCAATACTGCTGTTTGCTTAGAAGTTGTTAGTAGTTTTGTATCAATGTATATGCATACACGTGTATAAAATAATTAAGATGCAGTTTCATAGCTCAGCTAAGAAAATCTAGCCCGAATGTACAGCCAACTACTCCCACCACTGTCCTCATGCTAGCACTACTGTTCATCTGATATGCACTGAATGAGTGCTGAGTACTAAACAACTGCACACTAATTTCTGTTGGATCAGCTCTCTGAACAAATTATAAGGAGATTATGATTAATAAATAAACTCAGGCACATGAACCAGTTCAAAAATTGAGTCATTTCTACTTTCCAGCATCTGATGTATAACCAAACTTACCCTGAACATCATATCAAAGTAAGATCCCAGCATATATCTTTTCCCTGCTTCCAGTGAAGAGTTCATAAGCAGCCAAAAAACCACAGTTTGAATGGTTTGCTTATTCTGTTGGAACATTGCTTTCTGAGAGTAAATCCCTTAGATGGGCTGCGTAGTTCAGCAGGTCACTATTAATAATTGATTCAATTTATCAAATTAGAAGAAGATAAGTTTTAAAGTAAAATTATATTCCAACCAACCTTCTTGGATTTACATTATTTTTATCATTCAGCACTAATTGTTTTCTGCACAGTTTGCCACACAGCTATAATTCCCATGTCTCCATAATATTTAAAAAAATAGCTGCTGAGCAATGCTAATCCTCACTATTGTCATGGAGAAGATGTTATTGTCATCCGTGTTTGGATCTTTCCCTAAACAGACTTTTAACTTTGTCTGGAAATTGAGTTGTTGAATCTTCCTACTCAAGTCCTCCCGCTTCTACTGCCTCCCACTACAATTGCTACTGATGATCATTTTCTGTCAAGCATTAGCCCATATTGCAGGCTAATCTCATCACCAGAATCTGCAAGGCACGTTGTCCTTCTGATCTGAGAAAGCTGTCAGCATGAGGACTGCCCTCTGTCACCATGGTTTTTAATTAAAAAAAAAGTGTTCTAAGGAATGCATTTGCTAAGAACACAACACAGCACCAAGTCCCTTTCAGAAGGCAATGACAATGAAAATCTTACTTCTCCATACCTTTTTCCATGAGTAAGTTCTCTCAAGATGCAATATTCACATTCCTTCTGTACATACAGTAACACTTGCCTATAGCGAACTGATGATACAGTGCTGTGTTCACTTATGAAACAGAATTAGTTTTGTGCCAGAAGACAATCTATACTTTCTACTCTGAGGCTTTTTTTGACTGAATAACGTCATTAGTCATAACTTTACATACACAAATTTTCAAATGCTTTCACAAAGGATTAAACTTAAAGTTTACAAATGTCTTAATAAATAAAGAACAATAACAATTTTACCCTTATTTTTTTTTTCTATTAAAAAATTGCTGATAATGGTAGAACAGTGAATAGTAGAACAGTGAATCAGTCGGGGACTCCAAAACCAGATTCTCAGAGATAGAGCAGGCACATACATATTTTCTTCGGGGAACATGAGAAGGCAATGTGAATTGAAAAAACAACACTAAAGCAGCCTGAGCTCTCACAGTATATAAGACTTTGGGTATGAATCTGTTAAAACTCTGTGCTGAATTAAAAAGCACGAAGCCTTCAGATACGAAGTGGAAAAAAGAACTAAAAAGCATAAAAAGCAGCTCATACCTATGGAACCATGAAGTACTAAGGGTCGCCTTGCATATTTTATGATCAGTTTCCCAAGATAATTAACAATGCTGGAAACCTTTGACGCTTTCAGTTTTATTAAATTCCAGCAAGTTATTTTCCCATCAATCAATTAAACAGGCAATGCTGCAATTTGATTATATATCCTTGAGTTGGTCTTCCATAAATCAAGACCATAGTCAAATAAATGTACGTGTTCACAAACTTATGTCTAAAAAGAACATACCTACCCAGTATATTCCAAGTACATATCAATCACATTTTTTTTCTTTTTTGTCTGGAGAATGTGTTTCTTCTTAACTAACTGTTAGCCACAATGATCTTTCACTTGCAAATGATTAAAAAAAAAAAGAACTTAGGATCAGGATAGTTTTAGCTAGGAAGATCCTATATTTCCACTGATTCTGGCAATGTTTACTTCTGGCAGCTTGAAGAAAGGGCTCCATATCTTGCAGGAATAGCATTCATTCATAATCTGAATGAATGCATTGCTGGCTTTGTTTATCTTGTGTTGAATTTATTGGGATCAGAGAATGCATTTGTGAATACCATCCAAGACTGAGGAAAGCTGTACATCAAGATACAGGCAGCATGCCCATTCTCACTCACCTAAAAGGAAAAAAAAAAAAAGCAAACAGTGTTTCTTTTATCTATTGCCACAAGAGAAGCTGCAGGAATGAATGTCTTCCAGCATTACCAAAAACAAAAACCCAAAGGGATTTTGTGCACCAAAGGTACCATGGCATTCACTCTTTTTTTTTTTTTAATTTTGTAAACTGACTTAGCTCTAGCTTATCACAAAAGAATCACATCTACATCCAAACAAGATGACCTGCAAACAGTAAAACTTCATGGACGAGGCTATTTTAAAATTTTCATAGAATAACTAGGAGTGAATTTCAGAGATTAAATTCAGGGTCTTGCATCAGCCTTGCGTCCCCGTTAGGCTGGGGAAGACAAGCATTAGGTCAAAGCAAAGCACAAGATTTCCAACTGTCATCAAGGGTTTTCTTCATCTTGTACAACTGTAATTAGTGCTTACTTTATTTTTCAGACTTGTCTTAGCATATAGTAAATGAGATACCATGCCTATTCTCAGCCAGATCAGTGCTTGTTGGCGATGATAACTTGCTGGCTTCCATCTTCTTTGTGTTCTTTATTGCTGAGAGACAGATAATGACGGCCCTTACCTAAGAATGGGTCATGGAGAAAAGGAAGTAAATGCAGGCATTATGCATAATGGTGCTATGTGGCAAATGAAGGGTGGGGAAAACTCTTGAAAATATCTGATAATTTTGTAAGCTTTTTCTGTGGGAAGGCTCTGCTTTTGCTTTAGAATACTGAACCTCAGGCACTAGCTGTGTAGCCTTTGACATGGTCCCTCACCACATCTTTCTCTCTTGGAGAGAATTGGAGAGGTGTGGATTTGAAGGATGGACTGTTTGAGGGATTAGGAATTGGCTGGCTGGATGCAGCCAAAGGGTTGAGA